AATGAGAGCTTCACAATGATATCAAAATTTGGAAGAATTGATGGAGAAATCTACCTATTGAAATTCAGTTGCAGAGCTCTGTAAATGGACTTGGTCAGATCAATTCAGAAGGTTTCAAGGCTCAACTCTTCTTCTGTTAGCTTCAGGGAAGATCAAGGAAGGTGAATTGATAGAAAAAATAGATTGAAAAAGGCTTGAACAATGATTTCGAAGTTGCAGAAAAGTGAGTTATGGAGCGAGTTTGGCAGGGTGCTTTTGGTTGTTCAATCTTGAGAAAATGAATGGGATAGCTCATGTATTTATAGGAGAAGAAAATGGGATCAAAAGGAAGGGTGAATGATGCAATTTGGAGGGAATTCGTGTGGGTCTGCATCATGAAGAAAGTGTGATTTCTCTTTTATCAAAACTCATCCAAAATATGTGTTTTAATGCACTAATCCACTTGGGAAAGTTGGCTAATCATGTTTAGACCCAAAATACGTGCTAATTTGAGGGTTAGAAGTTGTAACATGAAATTCAAATTCTGACTTGCAATGAAACTTTAATTCCAAGTTACCACTTTTGAAACAATGGCATTCTCAGCTCAAGGGGTCTTAAGGCATGGTTCTTGATGCTTTAGAAAGATGAGATTACAAGCTTTGCAATGGAAAAAGAATGGAATCAAATGGATGTTTGAGCTGAAAGTTGTAATGAGTCAAAGTTGGGAAAACGAGGTTGACTTTTCATACTTGGAAATATTTCAAGTTTTTCTTCAAAAGTGACCTATAATGTTTTCCATCCAAACATGGCCTTTCTCTTGGAATTCTCTCTTGATTAAAAAAAGATGGCATGGAACAGACCTCTTGACTGATATTTTGAAACTTGAACCATTCAAAATCTCCAAAAATTGAGAGAGTTATGAATTGTTGAAGTTGGAAAAAAATCATGAAATGACCTATAATCTTTTGTATCCTTAAGGCATGCTCCGTCCATTTCCTCACTTTTCACATGAAAGAAGGAATAAAGTTCACATCCTCAAGATCATTATGGAAAAAGATTGGGCTCAAGGTGATAAAAATTGACCAAGTTATGATCATTTGAAGTCACACATAGGAAGATAGGGGTTCATCTGGAGGACTTGTAATCTTTCTTCATCATCAAGTTTCTTCCACATGAAAAGTCCTTGAAACTTTTGAAGTTATTTGTTAATAACCCTTTTAATAGATGGATATTTTTGGAATCACTCAAAAATACCAAAAGATGAGCAAGATATACTTTTTTGAAGTTCAAAGCCCTAGCTCATAGATCAAGATAATGCTTTGAGGAACTTTGACAATTTTAAACAACCTTCTTGTACCAAAACTTTTGATTTGTAGATAGAAGTTGTTGAGGATTATAATGAGAACTCATAGCAACTAAAACCACTTCCATATCTTAAGAATTGAGAAAAATATGCACTTGTGACCAATGGGAACAAGGCCTTGTCCAACCATGACAACTTCTTCAATCAACCCCTTATACTTTTTAATCAATCTTGATAACTTTGGAATATGGTGAACCAAAATAAACCTTGCCAAGCCATTTCTTCCAAAAACAAATTCAATGGTGAGGTTTGAATTTCTCAAGATTTATTGACTAGGGCATGGAAATAAACTCATGAACCCATCGATCAACTTGCTAAGCCACATTGCTTTTACCTACATTATTAACAAGTAAGACAAACCAACATTGCATTTTATTAATTAAAAGGAAAGTCAAAACAAAACATGCATGATCACAAAAGAAAAACAAGTCAAGGTGCTTGGTGATTCCTCAAAGAGCAAAGCTAAAGATAGGGAGGAGAACCAAAAGCCGTAATATGTTATGATTAAATCAATATGGTATGATGAAGGGATCTTAGGGGGGGAATTGAGGTACAACAGCTACCAAGCAGGCTTTAAATCGAACAATCTTACCATATGGACCAACTTTCACTGTATAAAGCCAACGACAACCTACTAAAGATTTCCCAGGAGGTAGAGGAACTAGTTCCCAGGTACCACTGCTTTGAAGAGCACACATTTCATCAATCATTCCTTGCCTCCACTCAGGGTGAGATAATGCTTCACCTGGAGTGTTAAGAATAGAAACAGAAGACAAAGAAGACAAACAAGTATACTGCAAAGGGGAAAGACGATGATAACATAAATCAATATAATATGGAGAAGGATTTTGTGTTTGGCGTATACCTTTTCTAAGGGCAATCGAAAGATCGGAATCAGGTTGTAGGATTGGATCCGCTGATGGTGAGAGCGTCGGAGGAGAGTCTGCAATGACCTCAGGGACATGTACGACCTCAGGGACAAGTATGATAGGCGTTCGTTGACGATGTTAATATGTTTGAAGTGGACGAGAAGTCGGGGGGTTAACCGTAGGAATATATAGTGGGTCAGGTTCCCTAGAATGATGAGAGATAATGACATATGGGACTTCCGAAAGAGGTGTGGGAGTACTCTCCTGAAAGGGTTCCGGAATTACTTGGTTGGACTCGAAATATGGAACAGACTCGAAGAAGGTGACATCGTCCGACATGAGGTATCGTTGTAGGGAATGTGAATAGCAACGATAACCTTTTTGGAATCGATGATAACCAAGAAAAACACACTTTAATGGTCAAGCTGATAGTTTATCAAGACCCGAAGAGAGATTGTGTATAAAACATGTAGACCCGAAGGCTCGGGGAGGAATTGGGTGAAGGGGGAATGGGGAAAAAGGATTGAATGAGGGATTTTATTGTTAAGGACAGATGATGGCATGTGATTTATAAGGTAACATGTCGTTAGCACATCGTCTCCCCAAAATCGAAGTGGAACATTACCATGGAGAAGTAGAGTTCGAGTGGTTTCTACAAGATGTCGATTTTTGCGTTCGGCTATCCCGTTTTGTTGAGGTGTATGAGGACAAGATGTTTGGTGGAGAATATTATTACTGAACATAAAAGTTTAAAGTTGTTGGGATAAATACTCACGAGCATTATCACTTCTTAAGGAACGAATAGACACACTAAACTGAGTTTATATTTCTTTATAAAAAAATTCAAAAATAGAAAATAATTATGATCTATTTTTCATTAAAAATAACCACGTGCAACGTGAAAAATCATCAATAAATGTGATAAAATACCTAGACTCAAGAGTAGAAATAGTACGTAAGGGACCCCAAACATCAGAGTGAACTAAAGCAAAAAAAAATGAAACTCATTTATTGACTCGATTGGGAAATTGACTGCGAGTGTGTTTCCCTAACTGACACGACTCACGATGTAAATTAGATACTTTCGATAAACTTGGCACCAATTTCTGTAATTTGAAAAGACTAGAATGACCTAACTGAGCATGGATTGTGAGTGGAGAATCTTTGGCTGAGCATGTCTTAGATGACACTGAGAGGTAATAAAGGCCTTGAGACTCACATCCGACGCCAATTGTCCGTCCCGAACTCCGATCCTGCAGGGTGACATTACTATTAGTGAACGTGACAATACGATCAAGAGAATAACTTAAACAACTTACTGGAAGTAATTAAATGGACAATTAGATACATAGAGAACAAAAATAACAGAGAGAGAAAGTAGAATTTGAAGAGTACCAATTCCTTCGGATCGGGTTTGAGAACCATTGACAAAAGTAATTGTAAGTAAGAAACCAGAGGTAGAGAAGGAAGAGAAAAGATTTTTATTACCAGTAACATGATCAGACGCACCAGAATCAAGGACCCAAGGTCCAAGAGAAGATGATTGAGAGAAGCAAACAGATGAATTACCAATGTGTGCAACCGAAGCACTCAAATCTGAGTTCTGATAATTCTAATACCACTTGAGGAAATCATCGTAGTTTAGCGTAAAGTTCTAAGGAGTAGCCATGAGTATCGGATATGGAAAAGTTGCACGATGGCGAGTGTGGTGGTGTTAAAATCATCGTCGAAATCGACCAGATCGAAGGAGGCGCTTTTGCCGGTAGGGTTAGTTTGTCGAAAGATCGCCGAAATTAGTAGTGACGGATGATGGCAACAGTTCGATGGTTACGGGAGAATTTTGAAAAGTGAGAGGCAAACCAGAATGGTAACACGATTTGTATAAAAAAATTCACTTAAAATAAAACCATCAACAAGAGTTCTAAAACCATAATTCAAGTATTAACCTTCAACCAACCAAAAATAAATATTTTATATGCTTGATGACTAAGATTAACCATCAAGGCTCAAGCAACTAAAGTAAGAATTTTTAAGAAACAAAACAATCATAACAAATATGAAATACAACACCAAAATTTATAGTAATTCAAATTACATAACATTATCTAACAAAACAAAAAGAGTGATGCATTCTAAATCCTAATCATTATTGTCATACTTTTTTTTTGCATTTAACATTTTTTTTTTGCATTTAACATTTTTTTTATAAAAATTAAGCGAATTTGCTAGGCCAACCCCGTGCTCCATCATATCTTTAATTTGCGAGATCTTTTGTTTTGGCGGGGGATTGAACAAGTTGTCTGGCCAACCCCGTGTTCCATCATATCTTTAATTCGCGAGATCTTTTGTTTTGGCGGGGTCGAGAAAACTTTGTCCCCATCCCAATAAAAGTCACCATCTTTAGGACCTCAAACCGGAATTCCCACCCCTACTAGACACACTTGGAGGCTGAAACCGGAGACATGTTCATGTTTCTAAAGGACCTTCAAGAAAATTTTATCCCCATCCCGATAAAATTCACCATCTTTAGGATCTCAAACAAGAATTTCCTAACAGGTGCAAGTTAACATCCCTTATGCGTAAAAATTGACATTTATGTGCATAAGGTTTACATTTCTCCATAAAACTAAAACTCTAGTTAATAAAGGATTTAAAAATCATCACAATCATTCCCCTCCTTAAGTCATTTCCCTCCCATCCTCACAATCCTTCCCTCCTAACCCTCAAACAAACCTAAATAAAATCAACAACGAATCAAGTTACGGTTCCCAAAAGCTATGGCAGTATAGATGTTACCTAAGAAAGGAGATACATGGCACGTGAAAGTTCATAAACTACTACAAAAACCACTTTCAAAAAAAATATTCATGATAGTTAAAATAAGCAAACCAAATATCATTGGCTCCTCCCATATAACTCACAGGAAGGGTCAATATAATGTATTAGTTCCAAAAGTAGAACTACTTGGAAGTTGGCATATAGGAAAGGTAATTGGCAAACTTCCAAATACCCCAACCTAAAACAATTTTCAAATTGTATTGAAAGAAACATCATTATAGAAACTTAGATAAGCTGAAATTTAAGTTAAACTTTGGTGCATTTGTTTCATGATCATCTACAATAAAAATTTTGCTGGTATACTCATGGTGTGTTGTTTCAACTTTGATGTAACCTTTGCCAAAATCTGGTGAAAATATGTGTAATTAAAAGAAGCTGTGGCTGCAATGCATCACTGTGAACAGACAGAATGTAGATCTCAAAATTAAATGCATGTGAACAAAAAGCAGGCATCTTGAACTTCTAGTATGTCAGATCTTCATAGTTACTTGTTATCTGCTTCCACCACCAAAGGCAACATCTTTTACCTCATAACTGACCCTACACCAAAACAATCTTTAGACCTTAATAGCAATGACAGTTTATATAATATTCAAGGAGAGAAATTCCTTCTACGTCAAAAAATAGCTGCACCAAAGACGCTAAATTTTCAAAATGTTCATTCTCAATGAAGCTCATGTTTTGACTAATAGTCACTACCTATCTTCCCTTTGACTGTGGCTTTGTTTGTTGCTTCTTAGGGGATAATAAGGTGATACTGGGTGATTTACTAGTTTGATGTCCAAAAACACCCTTCAATGGTGTAAACTCAGATTCGTCATCATCGCTGTCGATGTTATCAGGAGTATGCCTATTCTGGTATGCTCTGCGCTGCAAAAGAAAGACATTGAAGTAGTAGTTGACTAAACTTTCCCTGCTTTTCTTAGGAAATGCTTTGAAAATATCATCCCAGAAACGTCTATCAAGTGAAGCAGGATTCGATTTCACTACATCTTTGAACTTCTTCTCTTCTTGCGGTGTCCACCACCGCCTAACTTCCTCGCCTATCTTATCTAGACTCCACTGATAAAAGGCCACACCTAATTCCAGCTTGAGTTTAGCCCTTCTCTCAGCAATGTGAAATCGAACACACTCGACAGAGCCTTGTACTCTGCATTTACATGAATCGCGTCTTCCATTTCCAACAGAATCCCTATCCAAAAGTCTGGATTTTACAGTTTTTAGTGGCCATACTTGGGTTCCCAGCCACTTAGAATCACTCTCATGAGTCGTCCCAGTCCATTCAGGCACCTCAGCTTGATGGTTTGGCCCAAGAGGGATGTTCACTGTGGGAGGTGTATCAAGAATTGATTCAGAAGCACAGGAGTCACGTAACTTTTTTTTGGTACTGCTTTCAGTATCACTTGAGGTTCTTCGCAACCTTGAAAAGATAGATGCAGATTTTCCAACTAAAACTCCATTGTCAGATTTGATCCTCTGTCTAAGATTGTAATTTGCCCCAAGGCTATCATCATACATGCAAGGATGCATTTTCTGAGCCTAAAATATGAGAGAAAATAGTTTCAGCTTTCATTTTCAACAATACTAAGAAGAAAATATTTAGGCAAATATCCAAGTTATCTCAAGAGCAATTAAAGATCTCTATCATCCAAAAATAAAGCAAATTCTTCTATCAAGAACATATCGATAAATGTTCAGCACCTACTAGAATCAAGAACTCAACGATAAATGTTCAGCACCTACTAGAGACTAGACACACGTAAAATAATGAATATAACAAGTGAACCTCTATTACTTAATGATAACATCCCAAAAGAGGTTTATAAATCCGGTTATATTATGCATGTCTTCAACAAGACAGGATCATTAATTTTGAGAATCTTGAACTGCCACCTGTAATGCAATTCTGTTACAAACTATAACTTCATATACTAGAGTCTCTAATTATTTTCCAAATGAGTATACATACCCTCAAATTGATAAAGTACATAATTTATTACTCTCTTCGTCCCACAATGAGTAACGCATTTGTTCATTCGACACAAACTAAGAATAGACTAAAAATAAAAGAAAGTGAATGATAATTTTACAAACACTTACCTTATCAAGTATTGGTGAATTCACCATTTATCACAAATACAAAGTGATGCACACAGTATTAATTAAATGGTACAATAGAAATAAAGAAATTGAGATGTTACATTCAAAATTGAAAGTAAAAGTCATTGTGGAAGGGAGGGACTATAAAATCGAGGTTTGACCAAACTTCCATCATTTTTTCTAGTTTGTTTGTTGAGCTTTCTTTTCAACAAAACTAGAATAACAAGATAGACAAATTAATTTAATAGATGTTTTACACGACTCTAAATCAATCTATGGAATTGGAATCTAATATTAAAATAGAAATAAATTCAAACTTTTCTAGAATGTGTGGGTTGGGCCTAACTCATCCGTACAATTTTTTAGAATTACCTTTGAATGTAATAAATTTTAATTTTTTTATTTTTATGTAAAATTTTGAGTTGTACTATGTTGTCAACATCGGATAGCATTGCATAGCACAGACCCCGGCTACCGACCCCCTAAAATGCTATGGCAGGATAGTGTATAGTGAGATAACCGCTATTGCAAAGACTAAAAACCAGTGTACATAGTAACATAAATACTTACAAATAAACTAATGCACAAAAGTAAAGAGATCAACATACTTAATAGTTAAAGAGCCTAAAATATAGAGTAATAAAATTTAATTAGAGAAGAATAATAAAACAGAACTGAACTAAAAGTAGGAAGAAGAGCAGAATAATTATTTGTGAGCAAGAACATAACATTACTTATCAAAAGATTTCAATTGAAATTATACCCTTTAAAAATTCTAACAAATGCAATAGAGTTGTTTTCAACTTACCAGCCAACTGAGTTTTTCACAGTCTGATCCAAAATCCCTTTTCAAAAAGGCAGCTTCTCGAAACAACAAAACCTTCTTCCAGGTCTCTTCTTTACCGTAAGACTTCCACTTAGACTTTTCAGGCATTGAACCTACAACAGGATCACAAATATTCTTTGCAGTGCTAGTAACCCAACTTAGCATTTCTGAAATCGACTCTCTCTTCCTCTTCCGACCAAAGCGCTCTCTATTAACACTAGATGTATCCAATATTAATAAATCATCATCATCATCATTATCACACATCTTGCTTCCATCTGACAATCCAGGCATGCCGTTAACTGCGTCAGATACATCCACTGCTTTTATTTTACCCTCGTCAAACTCTTCCATTATTCCCACAGCATCATTTTGTTTACCCAACTTGCCGAGACTAATCTCATACGTCCTACTTTCCTGCATACACACATCAACAACTCCTCCGCTCTTAACTTTCTTAACCGCATTAGACTCAAGATTGGCGTCCTTCACTCTATTAGCATCACACAACTTCCTCCCATCTATGTAATCATAAACCCTTTCGAGTTCAGCTGCATTCAACTCAGGGTTCATGCCCTTCACCCTATTAGTACCGCAAAACTTCCTCCTACATTCATGCACACTCTTGAGTCCACCCCCCACATCTTCCTCACCATAATCATCCAGCAAAAACTCAGCTTGCAACTCCATCAACCGCTCACCGAATTTAACTCTATCATCCACTAAATCACACTTCGGAAACTCACCATCAACCACACTCTTCAACGGCATCTCTAACGTACTCAAATACTTACTGTAAACAAGTTCAACAGAAGAACCAACATTCACACCCAACCCATACTCTTCCCCAACCAAATCCCACAACCCATTCTTACAAACCACGTCATAACCACCTTTATCCTTCACCACCATGAACAGTTTATACAAATCCAAAGGTTGCTCACTTCCCAACATTTTCTAGATCTCTTTCTAAATAAACACCAACAAACTTAATAAAAAAAACAACACTAAACTTTACCACATAAAATCTACAAAAACAACACCATCAGCTCCATCAAAACTCTTAGTTAGCTCCACATTAAGCCTGTCATGCAAATCCAAATCATTATTTCAAAAAAAAAAACAATCAAAACAAAATCATACTAAAAAATTCCATTACAAACCCTAACCCTAACCACATCACAAAAAATCTAAAAGCAAAACCGATTATGCAAGCGGAATCAGTGTGACGAATGTGAAAAGGTACCAGATGATAATCGAGGATGGAAGATTTTGGAGAGAGAAACTCTTTCTCTCTCTATATCTCTTTCTCTCTCTATATCTAAACTTTTATACATATAGAAGAGGGAGAACGAGAGAAAATTTTCGGAATCCCGCGCATTGTTTCGATTGCTGAAAATAACTATCAAATAAACGATAAACGGTGGCTTCGAGTGTAAATTGAGAAAAATTGAGGGGCGAAAGTTCAGTTTTGAACAGATGCAGACCCTATTCTTCAAAATCTAAGAGGGTTTTTGAGAAAATAGTTTTTCAGAAAATAGATTTTCAGAAAATAGGTTTTGATCTAAGAAGACCTATGTGGATCTGAAAGTACAAGAGTTATTTTAGAAAATTAAATTAAATTTCTTACCCAAACAGATCTAAAATTTTGAAGGAGTAAAAAAAAAATATAATGAAATTTTCATTTGAGATGGAAAGAAAAAATTGGGGAGAGAAAGAGACATTAGATACATACCTGAGTGAATAGATGGGGGAGATGGGGGAGAATAGAATAGTAGTCCCTATAGGTAAAATTTATGGTGACCTTTGATTTGGAATCCAAATTTCTTCTAATTTCCCAAATAGGTTTTGTATATTTATTTATAACCCTAACCCCAAGTTTTTTTATCTATTTCTCTCTAAGAAATAGGGAAGGAGAGAATATAAATTTGAGATGGAGGTATAGGATTTTTATAAGTGATTGATGAATGAGAAAAATCACCTTTATTTGTGGTATTTATTATATTATTTGGAAGATTCATTAACTATGATTAGTTTTTAACTATGGTTGAGTTAAGCTTTTGAATAGGTGGGTAGTGGATTGGTGTTAGGAATATGGTAAAGGGGTAGTGTGAGGAAAAGGAAAATTGGCCAATGAGAGTGAATTATTATCATATCTAAATATTATTATTGGATTTATTTCAAGTTATGTAATCATTAATTTTTAGGAAATATTGATATAAAATTATATTTTATTTTGTTCTTAAATATATAAGA